TGGGGGGGGGGGGAGGCTATACCGCCAGAACAAATGATAGTGATTCTATAGAAAACTCACTCAAAATTGAGAGGAGTTTGAATCACTTAGTCTGGTTCTTCCTGTTCTGCATTCTGAAATATAGCTCAGCAGATATGCTTTACAGAACTAGAAACTTGACCAACTTCTCCAAACGTTTTATATTGAAGTGTTCTATTTAACTGAAAATCGGATGTATTTTTTTCTTTCCAGAAAACCTGCAAGAAGAAAACAGTAAGTGTCATAAAACTTTTCCACTTCTGACCAGTTAAAGCAAACGGAGTATAACCGTCTGTCACATTCTTTGCTACTTTTGACAAAGCATTAATATAATTCGTTCAGGCACAGTTCTGATTTGAAACTATGAGTGCTCCCAGGAAGGACTTATATCTAGACACCCTTTCTTTCTCCACCTCAATGTGGCAATAATATGTTGCAGGTTAAAATTACATACAGTACATGAATGAACGAACATAATCTCTGAAACTGTATCAGGTCATTATCTGGGAAAATGTTGTTTTCAAACGTACGCATCGTACGCCTTTTTGAACTTCATTAAAGAACTTTGGCCCCATAATGAGCACCTAGAGTTGGGCTTAGAGGAATAAGTAAACGTTATTCGTCAACATAAAAGTAGGATCATTGTGGACGTCCTAGGAGTGCAGCTCAATCCGTCACTGCGTTCAAGCTGCAGGTTCTGGGTCATCTTTCCGATGCATCCCACAAATAACACACTGCCGTAATTCAGACTCAAACTTACCGGTTCTTCATACTGGTATCACTCCTCAGAGATATCACATCTCTCTCTTACAGAAAGGACAGATTTTGCTAATTTGCCTTCTAAGATGAGCTGCAGACTTGCAAAGGGCAAGGGCAAAACCTAGCTCCTTCCCTGGGAATTTTCAGAAAGTTTCAACGGCTGCAATAGACTCTGAACATACTAGGAAAAAATCCTTTGCATCCCCGACAAAAGTGAATTTCCTGTTTGTAGACAATTTTCCCACGCATAATACAAATCCTTTTTTTCGGACGTCTTCTTGGGAAGAATGAAGCAT